ATAATTAGTGAGGGACACATGAACTTCATAAGGAGCTATGGTAAACAATGACAATCATTATAATTAGTGAGGGACACATGAACTTCATAAGGAGCTATGGTAAACAATGACAATCATTATAATTAGTGAGGGACACATGAACTTCATAAGGAGCTATGGTAAACAATGACAATCATTATAATTAGTGAGGGACACATGAACTTCATAAGGAGCTATGGTAAACAATGACAATCATTATAATTAGTGAGGGACACATGAACTTCATAAGGAGCTATGGTAAACAATGACAATCATTATAATTAGTGAGGGACACATGAACTTCATAAGGAGCTATGGTAAACAATGACAATCATTATAATTAGTGAGGGACACATGAACTTCATAAGGGGAGCTATGGTAAACAATGACAATCATTATAATTAGTGAGGGACACATGAACTTCATAAGGAGCTATGGTAAACAATGACAATCATTATAATTAGTGAGGGACACATGAACTTCATAAGGAGCTATGGTAAACAATGACAATCATTATAATTAGTGAGGGACACATGAACTTCATAAGGAGCTATGGTAAACAATGACAATCATTATAATTAGTGAGGGACACATGAACTTCATAAGGAGCTATGGTAAACAATGACAATCATTATAATTAGTGAGGGACACATGAACTTCATAAGGAGCTATGGTAAACAATGACAATCATTATAATTAGTGAGGGACACATGAACTTCATAAGGAGCTATGGTAAACAATGACAATCATTATAATTAGTGAGGGACACATGAACTTCATAAGGAGCTATGGTAAACAATGACAATCATTATAATTAGTGAGGGACACATGAACTTCATAAGGAGCTATGGTAAACAATGACAATCATTATAATTAGTGAGGGACACATGAGGAGCACATGTAACATAAGGAGCTATGGTAAACAATGACAATCATTATAATTAGTGAGGGACACATGAACTTCATAAGGAGCTATGGTAAACAATGACAATCATTATAATTAGTGAGGGACACATGAACTTCATAAGGAGCTATGGTAAACAATGACAATCATTATAATTAGTGAGGGACACATGAACTTCATAAGGAGCTATGGTAAACAATGACAATCATTATAATTAGTGAGGGACACATGAACTTCATAAGGAGCTATGGTAAACAATGACAATCATTATAATTAGTGAGGACACATGAACTTCATATGGTAACAATGACAATCATTAAGGAGGGACTACATGGTTCATAACATGGTAAACAATGACAATCATTATAATTAGTGAGGGACACATGAACTTCATAAGGAGCTATGGTAAACAATGACAATCATTATAATTAGTGAGGGACACATTCATAAGGAATGGTAAACTTCATAAGGAGCTATGGAGCTAAAAACAATGACAATCATTATAATTAGTGAGGGACACATGAACTTCATAAGGAGCTATGGTAAACAATGACAATCATTATAATTAGTGAGGGACACATGAACTTCATAAGGAGCTATGGTAAACAATGACAATCATTATAATTAGTGAGGGACACATGAACTTCATAAGGAGCTATGGTAAACAATGACAATCATTATAATTAGTGAGGGACACATGAACTTCATAAGGAGCTATGGTAAACAATGACAATCATTATAATTAGTGAGGGACACATGAACTTCATAAGGAGCTATGGTAAACAATGACAATCATTATAATTAGTGAGGGACACATTAACTTCATAAGGAGCTATGGTAAACAATGACAATCATTATAATTAGTGAACTTCATAAGGACACATGAACTTCATAAGGAGCTATGGTAAACAATGACAATCATTATAATTAGTGAGGGACACATGAACTTCATAAGGAGCTATGGTAAACAATGACAATCATTATAATTAGTGAGGGACACATGAACTTCATAAGGAGCTATGGTAAACAATGACAATCATTATAATTAGTGAGGGACACATGAACTTCATAAGGAGCTATGGTAAACAATGACAATCATTATAATTAGTGAGGGACACATGAACTTCATAAGGAGCTATGGTAAACAATGACAATCATTATAATTAGTGAGGGACACATGAACTTCATAAGGAGCTATGGTAAACAATGACAATCATTATAATTAGTGAGGGACACATGAACTTCATAAGGAGGAGCTATGGTAAACAATGACAATCTATGGTAAACAATGACAATTATAATGAGAGGGACACATGAACTTCATAAGGAGCTATGGTAAACAATGACAATCATTATAATTAGTGAGGGACACATGAACTTCATAAGGAGCTATGGTAAACAATGACAATCATTATAATTAGTGAGGGACACATGAACTTCATAAGGAGCTATGGTAAACAATGACAATCATTATAATTAGTGAGGGACACATGAACTTCATAAGGAGCTATGGTAAACAATGACAATCATTATAATTAGTGAGGGACACATTAACTTCATAAGGAGCTATGGTAAACAATGACAATCATTATAATTAGTGAGGGACACATTAACTTCATAAGGAGCTATGGTAAACAATGACAATCATTATAATTAGTGAGGGACACATGAACTTCATAAGGAGCTATGGTAAACAATGACAATCATTATAATTAGTGAGGGACACATGAACTTCAACTTCATAAGGAGCTATGGTAAACAATGACAATCATTATAATTAGTGAGGGACACATTAACTTCATAAGGAGCTATGGTAAACAATGACAATCATTATAATTAGTGAGGGACACATGAACTTCATAAGGAGCTATGGTAAACAATGACAATCATTATAATTAGTGAGGGACACATTAACTTCATAAGGAGCTATGGTAAACAATGACAATCATTATAATTAGTGAGGGACACATGAACTTCATAAGGAGCTATGGTAAACAATGACAATCATTATAATTAGTGAGGGACACATGAACTTCATAAGGAGCTATGGTAAACAATGACAATCATTATAATTAGTGAGGGACACATGAACTTCATAAGGAGCTATGGTAAACAATGACAATCATTATAATTAGTGAGGGACACATGAACTTCATAAGGAGCTATGGTAAACAATGACAATCATTATAATTAGTGAGGGACACATGAACTTCATAAGGAGCTATGGTAAACAATGACAATCATTATAATTAGTGAGGGACACATGAACTTCATAAGGAGCTATGGTAAACAATGACAATCATTATAATTAGTGAGGGACACATTAACTTCATAAGGAGCTATGGTAAACAATGACAATCATTATAATTAGTGAGGGACACATGAACTTCATAAGGAGCTATGGTAAACAATGACAATCATTATATTAGTGAGGGACACATGAACTTCATAAGGAGCTATGGTAAACAATGACAATCATTATAATTAGTGAGGGACACATGAACTTCATAAGGAGCTATGGTAAACAATGACAATCATTATAATTAGTGAGGGACACATTAACTTCATAAGGAGCTATGGTAAACAATGACAATCATTATAATTAGTGAGGGACACATTAACTTCATAAGGAGCTATGGTAAACAATGACAATCATTATAATTAGTGAGGGACACTTTAACTTCATAAGGAGCTATGACAAACAATGACACGTGCGTTATTACTCTGAACCGTGTAGCATTTGTAAACAAGCAAGAAAATCCAGGCTGATGTAATTTCACACAGGAAACAAAAATGTTGGACACAACACAGACATAAATTGTAATTAAAAACTTTTAGAACGGTTCAAACAGATAATATTTATCATATACATCTTTAAAAAAAACCAGAAGTCATCCTTTATCAGTTAGAGATAAATGTGTTCCTAAGTCCTGGAGAACCATGCACAAAAACACATTTACAAATATGTGAACACACACAAACCACACACACACACACACACACACATACATGCACGCATGCATGCACACAAGCTCGCACACACCCACACGTGCGCACACATACACACACACATGCTCATGCATACACATGCACATACATGCACACACACATGCATGCACATACATGCACACACACATGCATGCACATACATGCACACACACATGCATGCACATATATGTCAATTATCCATTTCATTTTCTGAATTAGAGGAGTTGAATGTTCCATCAAAGAACAGTTGAACTATTGAAGCCAGCAAATGACAATCAGCACACTTAGGTGATTAGAAGCAAAGTGACATGAGAAGTGACATGAGAAGTGACATGAGATGTGACATGAGATGTGACATGAGATGTGACATGAGAAGTGACATGAGAAGTGATGTGAGATATGACATGAGATGTGACATGAGAAGTGACATGAGAAGTGATGTGAGATGTGACATGAGATGTGACATGAGATGTAACATGAGATGTGACATGAGATGTGACATGAGATGTGACATGAGATGTGCCATGAGATGCGACATGAGATGCGACATGAGATGTGACATGAGATGTGACATGAGATGTGACATGAGAAGTGACATGAGATGTGATATGAGATGTAACATGAGAAGTGGCATGAGATGTGACATGAGATGTGACATGAGATGTGACATGAGAAGTGACATGAGAAGTGGCATGAGAAGTGACATGAGAAGTGGCATAAGATGTGACATGAGAAGTGACATGAGATGTGACATGAGAAGTGACATGAGAAGTGGCATGAGATGTAACATGAGAAGTGACATGAGATGTGACATGAGATGTGACATGAGAAGTGACATTAGATGTGACATGAGAAGTGGCATGAGATGTAACATGAGAAGTGGCATGAAATGTGACATAAGGAGTGACATGAGAAGTGACATGAGATGTGACATGAGAAGTGACATGAGATGTGACATGAGATGTGACATGAGATGTGACATGAGAAGTGACATGAGATGTGACATGAGAAGTGACATGAGATGTGACATGAAAAGAAACAGCTGGTCTACAGACTGACATAACCTCCTCTCTGTGTGTTTGTGGACCAGTTCAAGAGAACCTTCTCTCTGTTTGTGAGTGACCACTGTCAGCGACACAATCTGGACAAACGTCGACTGTGCCTGGCTGTTTTCATTTTGACTGTTGCTGTTAACTTCTCTACACCTGGAGTTCAGGTAAGCAACTATTATCATAAACTCCACACCTGGAGTTCAGGTAAGCAGATTAGCAATGAAATTCTGCAGTAGGGAAGCGAGGCTGTTTATTTTTGCTCTTAAGGCTATGGGTTCAATTGCGAACTGTATTATTTGGTTTTTAGTAAAATATATTTTTAGAACGCTTGGTTTCCTTGATGAAGCTTGGAGTTCAATAGAGAGTGTATGTTATCATCTTGACTATAATCACATTTTAATTAATACCCAGACTTTATTTAGGCAACTGTTTGGTTCTAAGGCCATAGCAGGAGTGGTGCTGTTCTATGACTACAGCAGAGGTGGTGCTGTTCTATGACTGCAGAAGGAGTGGTGCTGTTCTATGACTACAGCAGGAGTGGAGCTGTTCTATGACTACAGCAGGAGTGGTGCTGTTCTATGACTACAGCAGGAGTGGTGCTGTTCTATGACTACAGCAGGAGTGGTGCTGTTCTATGACTACAGCAGGAGTGGTGCTGTTCTATGACTACAGCAGGAGGGTGTTGTTCTATGACTACAGCAGGAGTGGTGCTGTTCTATGACTACAGCAGGAGGGTGTTGTTCTATGACTACAGCAGGAGTGGTGCTGTTCTATTACTACAGCAGGAGTGGTGCTGTTCTATGACTACAGCAGTAGTGGTGCTATTCTATGACTACAGCAGGAGTGGTGCTGTTCTATGACTACAGCAGGAGTGGAACTGTTCTATGACTACAGCAGGAGGGTGTTGTTCTATGACTACAGCAGGAGTGGAACTGTTCTATGACTACAGCAGGAGTGGAACTGTTCTATGACTACAGCAGGAGTGGAACTGTTCTATGACTACAGCAGGAGGGTGTTGTTCTATGACTACAGCAGGAGTGGAACTGTTCTATGACTACAGCAGGAGTGGAACTGTTCTATGACTACAGCAAGAGTGGAACTGTTCTATGACTACAGTAGTAGTGGAGCTGTTCTATGACTATAGTTTTATGAACTGAATGACTGAATGGTTCACTATGCAGTGAAAGTGATCTATCAACTGACTAACTAACCTCTCCATAAAATTAAGTCACAAACAAAACAAGAAAACAGTGAGATTTATTGTTTTAAATTAACTTTTCTAGAGACCTGCAGTCACATAGTTGGCTCTTGCTTGATTACACTTCATTCCTCTTTTTATTTTTTTTGACAACAGACGCTGTACTTGATGAAGTGGCCCAGATGTTGGCCAGCTACCAGAATTCTCACTTTTGGAAGTATCCAGATTTTGTGTAACTGGGTTGCCATTTTACTTCTAATGGCACTAATGCAGAAAGTGTTCAAGTTGGCCGACAGGCAAATTGCCATGTTTGGTGTTATTTCCAGTATAACTCACGCTGTCTTCATGTCTCTGGCAAGCAATGATGTGATGATATATGAAGGTATATATTTATTCTTGTAGTCATGTTTGTTTTTTACAAGTCTTTTATTTGTTAGTCTGTCTTTTAAATAATTCAAAAACAATTTATTGCTCAATTCACTTCCTAGCATATTTCACTGGATCTCATCAGGTTACTCAATCAATATAAAATGAAGCACCAAAGCTGAATAAAGTCCACTCAAATACAAACTGTCTCTATTTCTGCAACTCCCTCTCTCTCTCTATCACTCTCTTTCTCTCTCTCTCTCACTCTCTCTCTCTCTCTTTCTCTCTCTCTCTCTCTCTCTCTCTCTCTCTCTCTCTCTCTCTCTCTCTCTCTCTCTCTCTCTCTCGTGTATATTTAAATGCTGGGAGTTGATGATCTTCATGCAACTGACCAAGGATTGCTTCAAATTTATAAAGAATTTCTTCTGTTTACATAAGAGGGTGTTGAGCCAGTCACAGTATTCATCCGTTTGGGGTGTTGAGCCAGTCACAGTATTCATCCGTTTGGGGTGTTGAGCCAGTCACAGTATTCACCTGTTTGGGGTGTTGAGCCAGTCACAGTATTCATCCGTTTGGGGTGTTGAGCCAGTCACAGTATTCACCTGTTTGGGGTGTTGAGCCAGTCACAGTATTCATCCGTTTGGGGTGTTGAGCCAGTCACAGTATTCACCTGTTTGGGGTGTTGAGCCAGTCACAGTATTCATCCGTTTGGGGTGTTGAGCCAGTCACAGTATTCATCCGTTTGGGGTGTTGAGCCAGTCACAGTATTCACCTGTTTGGGGTGTTGAGCCAGTCACAGTATTCATCCGTTTGGGGTGTTGAGCCAGTCACAGTATTCATCCGTTTGGGGTGTTGAGCCAGTCACAGTATTCACCTGTTTGGGGTGTTGAGCCAGTCACAGTATTCACCTGTTTGGGGTGTTGAGCCAGTCACAGTATTCACCTGTTTGGGGTGTTGAGCCAGTCACATTATTCACCTGTTCAGGGTGTTGAGCCAGTCACAGTATTCATCCGTTTGGGGTGTTGAGCCAGTCACAGTATTCACCTGTTTGGGGTGTTGAGCCAGTCACATTATTCACCTGTTCAGGGTGTTGAGCCAGTCACAGTATTCATCCGTTTGGGGTGTTGAGCCAGTCACAGTATTCACCTGTTTGGGGTGTTGAGCCAGTCACAGTATTCATCTGTTTGGGGTGTTGAGCCAGTCACAGTATTCACCTGTTTGGGGAGTTGAGCCAGTCACATTATTCATCCGTTTGGGGTGTTGAGCCAGTCACAGTATTCATCCGTTTGGGGTGTTGAGCCAGTCACAGTATTCACCTGTTTGAAGTGTTGAGCCAGTCACATTATTCACCTGTTCAGGGTGTTGAGCCAGTCACATTATTCACCTGTTCAGGGTGTTGAGCCAGTCACAGTATTCACCTGTTTGGGGTGTTGAGCCAGTCACATTATTCACCTGTTCAGGGTGTTGAGCCAGTCACAGTATTCATCCGTTTGGGGTGTTGAGCCAGTCACAGTATTCACCTGTTTGGAGTGTTGAGCCTGTCACAGTATTCATCCGTTTGGGGTGTTGAGCCAGTCACAGTATTCACCTGTTTGGGGTGTTGAGCCAGTCACATTATTCATCCGTTTGGGGTGTTGAGCCAGTCACAGTATTCATCCGTTTGGGGTGTTGAGCCAGTCACAGTATTCACCTGTTTGAAGTGTTGAGCCAGTCACATTATTCACCTGTTCAGGATGTTGAGCCAGTCACATTATTCACATGTTCAGGGTGTTGAGCCAGTCACAGTATTCACCTGTTTGGGGTGTTGAGCCATTCACATTATTCACCTGTTCAGGGTGTTGAGCCAGTCACAGTATTCACCTGTTCAGGGTGTTGAGCCAGTCACAGTATTCACCTGTTCGGGGTGTTGAGCCAGTCACAGTATTCACCTGTTCGGGGTGTTGAGCCAGTCACAGTATTCACCTGTTTGGAGTGTTGAGCCAGTCACAGTATTCATCCGTTCGGGGTGTTGAGCCAGTCACAGTATTCACCTGTTTGGGGTGCTGAGCCAGTCACAGTACTCACCTGTTCGGGGTGTTGAGCCAGTCACAGTATTCACCTGTTTGGGGTGTTGAGCCAGTCACATTATTCACCTGTTCAGGGTGTTGTGCCAGTCACAGTATTCACCTGTTCAGGGTGTTGAGCCAGTCACAGTATTCACCTGTTTGGGGTGTTGAGCCAGTCACAATATTCACCTGTTTGGGGTGTTGAGCCAGTCACAGTATTCACCTGTTTGAAGTGTTGAACCAGTCACAGTATTCACCTGTTCGGGGTGTTGAGCCAGTCACAGTATTCACCTGTTCAGGGTGTTGAGCCAGTCACAGTATTCACCTGTTCAGGGTGTTGAGCCAGTCACAGTATTCACCTGTTTGGGGTGTTGAGCCAGTCACAATATTCACCTGTTTGGGGTGTTGAGCCAGTCACAGTATTCACCTGGTCAGTGTGTTGAGTCAGTTACAGTATTCACCTGTTCGGGGTGTGGTAAATCGCACAGAAAGTGTCATCTTTGTCAATGACATGTCTGGATTCAAGCCAGTGACATCCTATAGAAGAGTTGGGTTCTTTCCTCTTGGTTGGTCTTGACATCTTTGAGGGTTCACTCAGCTGTGCAAGGAACTACTTGGGTTTATGTTTTGAGGGATCATTCAGCTGTGCAAGGAACTACTTGGGTTTATGTTTTGAGGGATCAGTCAGCTGTGCAAGGAACTACTTGGGTTTATGTTTTGAGGAATCACTCAGCTGTGCAAGGAACTACTTGGGTTTATGTTTTGAGGAATCAGTCAGCTGTGCAAGGAACTACTTGGATTTATGTTTTGAGGAATCACTCAGCGGTGCAAGGAACTACTTGGGTTTATGTTTTGAGGGATCACTCAGCTGTGCAAGCAACTACTTAGGTTTATGTTTTGAGGGATGAGTCAGCTGTGCAAGGAACTACTTGGGTTTATGTTTTGAGGAATCACTCAGCTGTGCAAGGAACTACTTGGGTTTATGTTTTGAGGAATCACTCAGCTGTGCAAGGAACTACTTGGGTTTATGTTTTGAGGGATCACTCAGCTGTGCAAAGAACTACTTGGGTTTATGTTTTGAGGAATCACTCAGCTGTGCAAGGAACTACTTGGGTTTATGTTTTGAGGAATCACTCAGCTGTGCAAGGAACTACTTGGGTTTATGTTTTGAGGGATCACTCAGCTGTGCAAGGAACTACTTGGGTTTATGTTTTGAGGAATCACTCAGCTGTGCAAGGAACTACTTGGATTTATGTTTTGAGGAATCACTCAGCTGTGCAAGGAACTACTTGGATTTATGTTTTGAGGAATCACTCAGCTGTGCAAGGAACTACTTGGATTTATGTATTGAGGAATCATTCAGCTGTGCAAGCAACTACTTGGATTTATGTTTTGAGGAATCACTCAGCTGTGCAAGGAACTACTTGGATTTATGTATTGAGGAATCACTCAGCTGTGCAAGGAACTACTTGGATTTATGTATTGAGGAATCATTCAGCTGTGCAAGCAACTACTTTGGTTTATGTTTTGAGGGATGAGTCAGCTGTGCAAGGAACTACTTAGGTTTATGTTTTGCCACTCTATTTTCAAGCTGTCACTTGATTTGACCAATGTAAGTAAACTGGCACTTACCTGTAAATGGACAAATACAAGTGGTATGTGTGTAAGGGGATGCTAGTTCTTTAATAGGCAGGGTTTGGATAGAAGTGGGCTTGTAACTATACCCTGGAACCGTGGCATAGAATGTTTGGCCAACAGCTGTGTTTAGTTGCTTCTGCAGATGCTGCCTCACGTTGAGAGACTGCCCATTTGTATTTCAGTGGAGTTTTATAGTTTTTGTTTGTTGGGGTCGTCATTAAATGTTAATAGAACTGTCGTAACACACCAGATGAGATACAGCGAAACATGCCAGGCAATGAATTGTGCAGTGTATTTTTTGTGTCTGCATTATTTAAATTTACCATGAGAAAATATTGTTTTGAATTATTTGTCTGCAAGCGTGTGCTTGGCTGTTTTCACTTGCTGAAAGCTATGTAGTAGATTGATAGCTTGATTGCTTACTGAAGTATAACTCTTGGGTTCAGATCTTCTCGGAGGCAGGTGAGTAGAAGATAAACAGACAAGCAGGCAGGTATGCAGGCTGTCAGACAGACAGAGCGATAGGTGGGTGGATGGATGGATGGATGTATAGAGAGGAGAAATAAATTTGAAAAACATAGTGACAACACTCAAACTGGATGGCAAAAGAAAGACAAAGAGATGAAAATCCAGCTGGCTTGGCTCTATGGCAGGGTCAATGCTAGCACACAGAACCGATCCAGAACTCTGGTAATCATATAAGGTAGTGAATCTTGACTGATTATGCTTATTAGAATGGCACATAGTAATGATGATGTTCAATTAATGATTGTTGAATAGCATGAACTGATTATTGATTTAATAATCAACTAATCAACATCATAGAACACTGGGCATACCCATAGGTGCTCTGTCTCCCGTAGCAAACGTCTTAAGGTGGTGATGCTGACTGTTCCATTAGCAGGGTTGTACCTGGTACCCACTCAAGGCTGGGTCCACCTGGTACCCACTCAAGGCTGGGTCCACCTGGTACCCACTCAAGGCTGGGTCCACCTGGTACCCACTCAAGGCTGGGTCCACCTGGTACCCACTCAAGGCTGGGTCCACCTGGTACCCACTCAAGGCTGGGTCCACCTGGTACCCACTCAAGGCTGGGTCCACCTGGTACCCACTCAAGGCTGGGTCCACCTGGTACCCACTCAAGGCTGGGTCCACCTGGTACCCACTCAAGGCTGGGTCCACCTGGTACCCACTCAAGGCTGGGTCCACCTGGTACCCACTCAAGGCTGGGTCCACCTGGTACCCACTCAAGGCTGGGTCCACCTGGTACCCACTCAAGGCTGGGTCCACCTGGTACCCACTCAAGGCTGGGTCCACCTGGTACCCACTCAAGGCTGGGTCCACCTGGTACCCACTCAAGGCTGGGTCCACCTGGTACCCACTCAAGGCTGGGTCCACCTGGTACCCACTCAAGGCTGGGTCCACCTGGTACCCACTCAAGGCTGGGTCCACCTGGTACCCACTCAAGGCTGGGTCCACCTGGTACCCACTCAAGGCTGGGTCCACCTGGTACCCACTCAAGGCTGGGTCCACCTGGTACCCACTCAAGGCTGGGTCCACCTGGTACCCACTCAAGGCTGGGTCCACCTGGTACCCACTCAAGGCTGGGTCCACCTGGTACCCACTCAAGGCTGGGTCCACCTGGTACCCACTCAAGGCTGGGTCCACCTGGTACCCACTCAAGGCTGGGTCCACCTGGTACCCACTCAAGGCTGGGTCCACCTGGGAGCCAAGGTTATTTTTGAAAAAAAGTCTGGTTCTGCCAGGACCCGAACCCATGCTCTTCTGTTCTGTAAGCCAGCATCTAGCTGCTGCACCACGGTACAACCAAGGAGATTGGATTAGATGTATGCATCCACAATTAGTAAAGATTTCAAGCAGAAATAATCATAAAGCCTAGGGTATGATTGCAACAACCGTCCTGAAATGCCATGTTATAATTGTGAAAGACTTTTCTTAACCTGGGTGAGTCTTGCTAGTCACACTCGCCATCGACATGGACTGTGAGTCTTGCTAGTCACACTCTCCATCGACATGGTCTGTGAGTCTTGCTAGTCACACTCGCCATCGACATGGTCTGTGAGTCTTGCTAGTCACATTCGCCATCGACATGGTCTGTGAGTCTTGCTAGTCACACTCTCCATCGACATGGTCTGTGAGTCTTGCTAGTCACACTCTCCATCGACATGGTCTGTGAGTCTTGCTAGTCACACTCGCCATCGACATGGTCTGTGAGTCTTGCTAGTCACATTCGCCATCGACATGGTCTGTGAGTCTTGCTAGTCACACTCGCCATTTACATGGTCTGTGAGTCTTGCTAGTCACACTCGCCATCAACATGGTCTGTGAGTCTTGCTAGTCACACTCGCCATCGACATGGTCTGTGAGTCTTGCTAGTCACACTCGCCATCGACATGGTCTGTGAGTCTTGCTAGTCACACTCGCCATCGACATGGTCTGTGAGTCTTGCTAGTCACACTTGCCATCGACATGGTCTGTGAGTCTTGCTAGTCACACTCGCCATTTACATGGTCTGTGAGTCTTGCTAGTCACACTCGCCATCGACATGGTCTGTGAGTCTTGCTAGTCACACTCGCCATCGACATGGTCTGTGAGACCTATACTTCCTCAGAGTACAATACACAACTATTGTCTGGAAAGTCCTGAAGGTGCCAACAACAGAATGAGGAGGAACACCATTGGAAAAATGAACTCTTGTTTTTTAGAGTTTTGTTTGGGTGTATATTGTTTTAAATAAGGTAAACATTTAAAGATAAGGTGAGTAGTTTTGTCAAGTGTACAGTCTTTAATTATGGTTTTTTTAAATTTCCTAAAAACCATGAGTTGTTAACCCTTTAGCTCGGTACTTTGGCCTTTATTCCATGACAGATACCATAAATCTGGGGAAAATGTGGCTTTTCTGCCTACCCTTGTTGGTGAAGCCGGACATCAAGGAGTCCATCACCTGGTCACCACGCAGTCAGGTTTAACCAAATGAGCTAGTGAGCCAGGCTAATTATGAGTCGAAGGCTGTTAGTGAACTCATAACTCCAACATTAGTATCAATCATAACTCCATCTTGATTGTTATTGTTAGAACTGTTGAACTAAGGAAACTTCGTCTTCTTCTATATCCCCCCCCCCCCCTTTTTTAAGAGAATGCCTGGCACATTGTGGTGTGGTTTACAGTTAGGCTGTGATATCTGCTCCTTTTAGCCCAAAACATTTGATTTCAGCAATCCCCTATTAATTAGTCATTTACATAATGTTTGGTTAGGGTTCTGGCAGGATGCGGTTAGTCTATTCTTGCTTTCCTTCAGAATAAGGAACCCACACAATGAACAAAGGAATCTATTTCTTGAACTTTTGCTTGAACATTTAATTTTCTAAACTTCTGGAAACAGTTTACACCAATGAGTAAATTGTTTACTTAGTTCTCCAAGAAATAATTGACTTCCCTTGCAGTTGCTGTGGTTGGTGTAATGATCAGAGCTATCATACCCATGCTACGCTCAGTGATGTCGTCTGTAGTAGATGCCAGAGACCAGGGTAAGTCAAGTCAAGTCAAGTCAAGTCTATGACAGAAATATTGCAAGTTAATTCATTGTGAAAGTGAAGATGGGGAAGATTTAAAAAGTAACAAGTGGCAAGAGAAAAAACTGAGCACTGCATTTCCATAAACTGTAACATTGTGTGTGAATTTCTAAACATCAAAGAGTCATTTGATAGTCTCTATTAAATACTTTATTGTTTCATTACCAAAAAGTTTCTCAACAGATTTTGGTGGTACTAAATAAGTTCTGTATCAAATGTAAGATGGGCCTGTGTTCCCAATTTGTAACCCTGTGAAAATAAAGCTTGTTTGTTTTGTACAAACACACACATACTCTCATTTCAATCATGCTTAATACACATAGAAAGTTATCATTGAGGTATGTCAGATTTTTTAGTGTGTTCAAACCAGATGTAGAGAGTAATTGAATACACTGTGTGTTGATTTAGAATGAGTGATTGAAACTAGGACACATCCTGCATTTTTTAGGGCAGAAAAAGTTAAAAATAAATGTTAACATGTATACTTTTCTTGAGGTTCCAGAGAAGAGGGGAATATACTTGGGTTAAACAGACAAGGATGAAAAGGTAGCAGGTTCTGTATACATACTATACACTGAATATCCTTCACTAATGTAAATTCCTTGTTAATAAATAACCATATAAAGAGAGCATTAATTTGAGGCTGCCCTTAGTGAATTTGATTCTGGGTGATATTTTTTCTGAACATTGACCATTACATGATATTATAGAAATCCAGTGTGTTCAATTAGCAGAACTCAAGGTGTTTGCAACACAGTTTGACCGCAGACATAATATTTTTTTTGGCTAAAACATCTGTTTAAAAAGAGGATGAATGGATCAAATGCTACGGCAAATGTCATTGTTTTATCTTCTGCATGGTGTGCAACAGATTTAGATATAATATGTATACAAAATGTTTACATCATCCTGCAAGTTACAGTAAAGTCATGAACAGGAAGACAATAAGATCTGAGATTTCCTAGAAGAACTAAAAACAATAGTAGGCACAGTACTGGTCAATGATTTCATAGAACATCCAAGAATGAAATGGTTGGATCATCTGCTCACAATGGAACCAAATCAACCTGCAGCTAGAGCATGCTACAATGCAAGAGGCCCACTGAGTAAGAGATGGGTAGAGCGAGTAAGAGACATTACTGAAATACAGAATGGCATTAACACAAGATAGGCAACAAGCTCAAGACACAAAACTACACCCAACTGCTCTCTGTGACTCTTCCCGGTACAAGCAGTAGGACAAAAGACAGGAAACGATATCTGACACCTCTCCTTGATACGGTATGGTACAAGCAGTAGGACAAAAGACAGGAAACATTATCTGACACCTCTCCATGATATGGTATGGTATAAGCTGTAGGACAAAAGACAGGAAACAATATCTAACACCTCTCTATGATATGGTATGGTACAAGCTGTAGGACAAAAGACAGGAAACAATATCTGACACCTCTCTATGATATGGTATGGTATAAGCAGTAGGAAAAAAGACAGGAAACAATATCTGACACCTCTCCATGATATGGTATGGTATAAGCAGTAGGACAAAAGACAGGAAACATTATCTAACACCTCTCCATGATATGGTATGGTATAAGCAGTAGGACAAAAGACAGGAAAGGATATCTAACACCTCTCCATGATATGGTATGGTATAAGCTGTAGGACAAAAGACAGGAAACATTATCTAACACCTCTCCATGATATGGTATGGTATAAGCTGTAGGACAAAAGACAGGAAACATTATCTAACACCTCTCCATGATATGGTATGGTATAAGCAGTAGGACAAAAGACAGGAAACATTATCTAACACCTCTCCATGATATGGTATGGTATAAGCAGTAGGACAAAAGACAGGAAACAATATCTAACACCTCTCCATGATATGGTATGGTACAAGCTGTAGGACAAAAGACAGGAAACATTATCTAACACCTCTCCATGATATGGTATGGTATAAGCAGTAGGACAAAAGACAGGAAACATTATCTAACACCTCTCCATGATATGGTATGGTATAAGCTGTAGGACAAAAGACAGGAAACATTATCTAACACCTCTCCATGATATGGTATGGTATAAGCAGTAGAACAAAAGACAGGAAACAATATATGACACCTCTCCATGATATGGTATGGTATAAGCTGTAGGACAAAAGACAGGAAACATTATCTAACACCTCTCCATGATATGGTATGGTATAAGCAGTAGGACAAAAGACAGGAAAGGATATCTAACACCTCTCCATGATATGGTATGGTATAAGCAGTAGGACAAAAGACAGGAAACAATATCTGACACCTCTCCATGATATGGTATGGTATAAGCTGTAGGACAAAAGACAGGAAACATTATCTAACACCTCTCCATGATATGGTATGGTATAAGCTGTAGAACAAAAGACAGGAAACAATATCTAACACCTCTCTATGATATGGTATGGTATAAGCTGTAGAACAAAAGACAGGAAACAATATCTAACACCTCTCCATGAATGTGGTATTGTACAAGCTGTAGGACAAAAGACAGAAGGGAAAGATACAGATAACATAATTACTACACAACTCATGCTCGTATACACATCCAACCCCTTGATGAACATAACATCATCACTACACTATGCACACATATGGTAGCCACCGTGGTGTAGTAGCTAGAGGCTTGCCTGCCAATCTGGAGGTCATGGGTTCGAGTCCTGATGAAGCCGAACTTTTTTTTTTTTCAAAGATGAGCTTGTCTCCTTGATTGACCCAGCCTTTAATGTGTACCAGGTAAAGTCCTGGGAAGTAAAGTCAGCCAGCTTGATGCTGACCACATCACCCACCAAGTGCCAACTGGTCTGTAAAATATAGGCCTTGCCCTATATGCCCTAAGCCTAAAAGAATAGAAAAGGGTTCTTTACTTTACATACCTATGTCTACAATGAGCAAATCTGTTGTACTTAACCTTGTCACTTCACACATATGTTCAGGTGCGGTCTACGCCAGTATGGGCTGTGTGGAGATACTGGGAGCTGCTGTTTGTGGAGTGTTAGCCAACCGTGTTTACTACGCAACCTTGTCTGTGTGGGATGGTTCCGTGTTCATTATGTTTGCTGGCCTGATGGTCATCGCACTTATCTTACTCATGTACGTATTCATAATCACCATACTAATATATGGTGTGTATTTTACACCAGTGTATGCATTCATGTATCTGCTGAAATATTTTGATCATATCAAGCGCCACGACAGATTGGAAAAAATTATAGCAGAGGGCATGGTACCAGGAAGGAGGGTCAGGTGCCGACCGACAAGAAGATGGGCACAGGATATAAGGGACTCCTTGGGTAGGAAAGCACTTGAGGCTGGAGAGCTGGCGAGAGACCGAGTTTCTTTCAGGCGAAGCGTGATGAGAGTGACATTCTGCAAAGGACCTGCTACATGATGATGTTGATGTATGTATTCATAATCACCATACCTACATATAATATGTATTTTCCACTCATGTAGGCTTTTATATTCACCATACCCACATATGGTGGGCATTTTACACTCATTCTTGACAAGCTCACAATATTATTTAAACTTCAGATTAAAAACAGAAGGTGATTTTTGTTGTTTTTTCTAAAACTCTAGTTAGTTAGCTTTACAAAGAAAAAAGAAGCGTATTTAAAAATGTAATGTATTATGTTTAAATGACATAAAGAAACAAACCCAAACTCTAAATGATTAAAAAGAAAAATACTAAATGACAGAAATGAACCTGCAAGTTTAACTGCTTACCTGCATCAGAATGTTAGGTCTGCATAACATAAGAGGCATATCTACAACTTGTGTTAGTTTAACTGGTTACTTGCATCAGAATATTAGGTCTACATAACATAAGAGGCATATCTACAACTTGTGTTAGTTTAACTGGTTACTTGCATCAGAATATTAGGTCTACATAACATAAGAGGCATATCTACAACTTGTGTTAGTTTAACTGGTTACTTGCATCAGAATATTAGGTCTACATAACATAAGAGGCATATCTACAACTTGTGTTAGTTTAACAGGTTACATCAGAGCCATATCTACAACTTGTGTTAGTTTAACTGGTTACTTGCATCAGAATATTAGGTCTACATAACATAAGAGGCATATCTACAACTTGTGTTAGTTTAACAGGTTACATCAGAGGCATATCTACAACTTGTGTTAGTTTAACTGGTTACTTGCATCAGAATATTAGGTCTTCATAACATAAGAGGCATATCTACAACTTGTGTTAGTTTAACAGGTTACATCAGAGGCATATCTACAACTTGTGTTAGTTTAACAGGTTACATCAGAGGCATATCTACAACTTGTGTATGTTTAACTGGTTACCTGCATCAGAATGTTAAATCTGCATAACATAAGAGGCATGTCTTCAACTTGTGTAAGTTTAACTGGTTACATCAGAGGCATATATACAACTTGTGTAAGTTTAACTGCTTACCTGCATCAGAATGTTAAATCTGCATAACATAAGAGGCATGTCTTCAACTTGTGTTAGTTTAAGTGGTTACATCAGAGGCATATCTACAACTTGTGTAAGTTTAACTGCTTACCTGCATCAGGATGTTAGGTCTGCATAACATAAGAGGCATATCTTCAACTTGTGTAAGTTTAACTGGTTACATCAGAGGCATATCTACAACTTGTGTAAGTTTAACTGCTTACCTGCATCAGAATGTTAGGTCTGCATAACATAAGAGGCTTATCTTCAACTTGTGTTAGTTTAACTGGTTATACCAGAGGCATATCTACAACTTGTGTAAGTTTAACTGCTTACCTGTATCAGAATGTTAGGTCTGCATAACATAAGAGGCTTATCTTCAACTTGTGTAAGTTTAACTGGTTATATCAGCGGCATATCTACAACTTGTGTAAGTTTAACTGCTTACCTGCATCAGAATGTTAGGTCTTCATAACATAAGAGGCATATCTACAACTTGTGTTAGTTTAACAGGTTACATCAGAGGCATATCTACAACTTGTGTTAGTTTAACAGGTTACATCAGAGGCATATCTACAACTTGTGTATGTTTAACTGGTTACCTGCATCAGAATGTTAAATCTGTATAACATAAGAGGCATGTCTTCAACTTGTGTAAGTTTAACTGGTTACATCAGAGGCATATATACAACTTGTGTAAGTTTAACTGCTTACCTGCATCAGAATGTTAAATCTGCATAACATAAGAGGCATGTCTTCAACTTGTGTTAGTTTAAGTGGTTACATCAGAGGCATATCTACAACTTGTGTAAGTTTAACTGCTTACCTGCATCAGGATGTTAGGTCTGCATAACATAAGAGGCATATCTTCAACTTGTGTAAGTTTAA